GTGTGTGTGTGTGTGTGTGTGTGTGTGTGTGTGTGTGTGTGTGTGTGTGTGTGTGTGTGTGTGTGTGTGTGTGTGTGTGTGTGTGTGTGTGTGTGTGTGTGTGTGTGAGTGAATGTGAGTGGCTGCAGGCAGGGTTGTGATAGCGGGGTGGAGCTGGGGAGAAGGTAGGAAGGGGTAGCAAAAACAACGGGGCGGTGAAAAAAAAGTTTTTAAAATAATCATTATTATAAAAATAAACGTAGCATAAATTTACAATCGGTTATAATAGTATATATAATAATATTAGTATAATTTTACTTGTGGCTCGACAGCTCTACGCATTCATATCAGCCAAGAGTTCTACAACGGACTCCGGCAGTTCGATCAGGGAGGATACGAGGTCAAAAAGCGAGGAGAAATGAACGTCAAGGTAAGGCCAGCGCACGAAGTTGTTACGCCAAAGTGACGTAACTGAATATAGCGTGACGTAATCGTGGCGTTTCTGACATCTGCTTCAAATAATTTGCGTCATCGTGGCAAATTAACAGAAAAGTAATCGGCAAAAAATTGTCATTTTCGTATGTTTTAAGGATTGCTGATGCGAGATTGTTATGTTGTGGTTTTACGTGATTTAGGGCCCTTTCTTCCCATACAGCCAATAGGTTGTAATCAGTCCTTTAACACGCTTACTCTTCAAAGCTAGGAAGCGGTTTGTCGAATCACATTCATAATTTCTTTGATTATTCTCCGTGTGTGTGTGCGTGTGTGTGTGCGTGTGTGTGCGCGCGCGTGAGTGTGTGTCTGAGAAGGGGAGGTGAGGCAATTAGTATTCACAATACCAAAACAGGATACTTGAAGCTATGTAGGATTGAACAATAAACCTGGGCGTACGTGCTTGATCAGAGCTCACGAATATATTCATGCACGCCTACATCTATCACTAACATTGTTTGGATAACATACCATTCACAGAACTACACGTAAACAAAGTTATCACGTTTCGTGTATATAGCAGAAGTTCTGGTAGATAATAACAACATCATAATTGTTCATTCGCGTGTTTTCTCGTGCGACATTCGTCATCAACGTACGATAGCGGCAAACTAACATAATCATCAATTCTATATTGCCGTGTATTATATCATAATTTATCGATAACATTCAGCTAACACCCGAATTCATTCGACTGTGGTCAACGAAATACTAACGATTAAAATAACAATGATAATCTAATTCAATCATCAATATCAGCGATAATTATAATAATCATCATAATAGGATAATCCATTGTGTAAATTATATAATTTGTTTACGCTCTCTTGTTCACTCGCGAGGACATAACTAAACAAATGCGCACGCTACTCGCTACTCTAAGTTAATTCATCGTCTGTGCAAACTACTCGAGTGTATCGTGCGAAATTTACACTTCTCTCTACTCCGATTTATAACGCCCAAGCGAGAACACAGGCACTTGGAACCTCTCAATAAAAAAATTGTGGTAAATAAACACGAAATGTATTTACTACCAAAGTCTTAATGTTTCATTACTCCCTTTCGCGTATTATTGCTGATGACCGGTATAGGTATAACCGCACGGACGCCGCTGCGCACAAACAACAAGAATAAAAAGTGTTACTTTGTTCTCTTTATTCTCTTAACTCTTATACTCTTTATTTATGTTGTTATACTCCTTATTTATGTTGTTATACTCCTAATTTATGTTTAGTCTCTTTATTCTCGTTGTTATACTACTTATTTATCTTTATACTCTTTATTCTTAATGTTTGTGCACAGCGGCGTGCGTGCGGTTATACCTATGTGTTGTAGAGGAGCATATGAACGGCATTTACAGGAAGTTATCGGCAATACTAGGCGAGATGGAGTAAAGAAACATTAAGACTTTGTTAGTAAATACATTTCGTGTTTATTGACCATAATTTTGTGTGCGAGGGGGCGAGGTATTGCTGACGGATATATGCGTATTAATAGTTGCTGCGTGGCTACTAGCGACATCTATATGTTGTAATAGGAAGCTAGTACTGAGTCAGCTTGTTGTCGACGTCCATGCCTTCGGCAGCCGATTCGTCGTGAAACTTGTTGCGGTGCTGCATCTCTTCAGAGCTCTCCTGACTGAACTCGTTCATCTTCTTACTGCTGCAATGTCGAAGTGTATACACCGAGGTCAGGCGACTGTCGCAGGGCGAGGTTGCATGATCGGGAACTACATGACAGTGGGAATCACAAAGTGTGTGTGTGTATGTGTGTGTGTGTGTGTGTGTGTGTGTGTGTGTGTGTGTGTGTGTATTTGTGTGTGCGTGCGTGCGTGCGTGCGTGCGTGCGCGTGTATGTGCGGTGCATCAGCAATCGTGTATCCACACACGACTACCGTCTATGGGTCAGTAATGGGGTTTGGGCAAATTATTAACTAGGCGGTGGGTGCAGCAGTGCATTTTATAAAAAAAACTAGTTCAGAGAGAGAGAGAGAGAGAGAGAGAGTCATGTAACTAAAACTAAAATCCAAATTTTTGACTTAATACTTAATACTTGAACTTTTTTAAATTTTTTCTCAGCCAGAACCATCTCCCAGACGTGGTGATTCTGAATATATCTTCAGTTAGCGCAATTGAGTGACAAATCAGGGCGAAAAGCTAACACAAACAAACACACACACACACACACAAGATTAGCCAAATTATAGTATAGATTGTTTGTGTACAGCGGCGTGCGTGCGGTTATACCTATGTGTTGTAGAAGAGCATATGAACGGCATTTACAGGAAGTTATCGGCAATAATAGGCAAAATGGAGTAAAGAAACATTAAGACTTTGTTAGTAAATACATTTCGTGTTTATTGACCATAATTTTGTGTGCGAGGAGGCGAGGTATTACTGACGGATATATGCGTATTAATAGTTGCTGCGTGGCTACTAGCGACATCTATATGTTGTAATAGGAAGCTAGTACTGAGTGAGCTTGTTGTCGACGTCCATGCCTTTGGCAGCCGATTCGCGGTGAAACTTGTTGCGGTGCTGCATTTCTTCAGAGCTCTCCTAACTGAAATGGTTCATCTTCTTACTGCTGCAATGTCGAAGTGTATACACCGAGGTCAGGCGAGTGTCGCAGGGCGAGGTTGCATGATCGGGGCTGCATGACAGTGGGAATCACAAAGTGTGTGTGTGTGTGTGTGTGTGTGTGTGTGTGTGTGTGTGTGTGTGTGTGTGTGTGCTCATACGGCGGCAGTCAAGAGACGCAGTGTAATTCCCACGTATGTGATGTGGATCTGCTGTACGCACTGCCATCTATTGACGAATAGCATTTTTTCATATTCAGAATCACCACGTCTGGGATCTGAGACGTAGCACCATCTATTGAGGAATAGATTTTTGTTTGAGCCAGAACCATCCCCCCCCACTGCAGATT